CGTAGGTATTTCTTATTTTTCTAGTAGTGATGTTAGTGGGAGCATGATAATTATGATAAATGTTGCAAGTCAGCAATGTTAATTATAGAAAAACAAAAGTTCAATTGGGAAAAGTTGTTTTGCTATAATTAAGGGAGAGGAAATTATACTTCATTTCAATTCTAAAAGCTTAGATTGAGGTTTTAATCATCTTTAGTCAAAGATATATATATATATATATATATATTACTATATTATTATACAAAGCTTACTATTTCTAAAAATAGATTTAAGACGTGCAAAACTTTAAGCTTTAAAATACAATAAACCAATGCATATCGGTACTTCTCTGGCTTATTTGTTTACATAATTGTCTATTTTCTTCACTTTTTCTCTCCTTAATGGGCTTAGCCAGCTTACTGATGACCAATTCATAACACAAATCAAGGGAATATATTTATTTTGAATTCAAAGATTCACTGATATCTCGCCCTGCACTCTCTCTCATCTTTTCTCTCAAAAATCGAACTCACCGCCATCCTCCTTCATCATCAGTTAAAAGTTAAAACCACCACCACATCACCTTCCGCCTAATGATGCCACCCAACGTATGTACATTCTTTCAGCAGCATAAAAACTACAGACTACATTCCTCTCGATAAACACCTCTACGAGCCCTAAAAACGCCTACTAACAGCCGCCACCCTCACCGCCCGTTGCCACCATGTATCTCCATCTATGTAAGGTTTTAATTCGGGAGTCGATGACCCGTCTTCACCGTCGCTGAAATTTTCAGTTTTCCCTTGTTTCAAACTTTCACACGATTGAATAAAAAACAATTTGGGTTTCAACAAAATTTGATTAATTCATGTTTTTGTTGGTTTAATTTTACTTTGGTGAACAGGGGTTTACACCATCAAAATAAATCCAGGCGAAACCTAAGGATCTCAACACTGTCGTCGTCCCTGCTTCATCACCACCATCAGTTAATTAATATCTCCATCACTCTCTTAAAACCTAAAGATCTATGCGCCGCCACTTCATCCTTATATCTGATGTTGATTCCTCAAAGATTCGAAGGAGATACATCGAAGCAAGGTACATTTTCTTTAGTACGTTATGATTTTGGGTTTTGCATAAAAATGATTCTTGATTAAACCCAAAACGTAGGTTGATCCGAATTTGTGTTTGAAGGTCTGGTTCGATTTTCCTGTGGGATTGCGTTTGATCTTAAAACGTAAGGATCTATGCGCCACCACTTCATCCTTATATCCGATGTTTATTCATCAAAGATTCGAAGGACATCCATCGAAGCAAGGTACGTTTACTTTAGTAGGTTATGATTTTTGGGTTTTGTATAGAACTGATTCTTGATTAAACCCAAAAAAACACTGCAGGTGGGTTGATCTGAATTTGTGTTTGAAGTTCTGGTTCGATTTTCCTGTGGGATTGTGTTTCATTTGGTAACATATAGTTCCTCTTCTTTCTCATGATTTTGGTTTCTAATTGTTCTGATTTACAATAGCGGAATTAATATTTTAACAAGTTTTTTTTCTTGTAGGATAAAGAAACAAGAAATAGAAGCAATGAAAAGAAAAAAAAATCAATGGTTTCTCCTTCACAGTTCTCCCTATATAAAATCCTTTCTCTCTTGGCCCTAAACCGCTAAAATCGCACCTTGAAACCCCAAATGCCACCCTTAACACCATATGGGTCTATCTCTATCTCTGTTAACCTTCTCTCTGTTTGTTATATGTGTTTACCTCTATGTGTATGTGTGTATATGCCAATGAATTGTGTATATGTGTTTAAGTTTGTGTGTTTAGATTTCAGTATGCCATTATCTTTACAAATTGTGTGTTCATCTGTCTGCCTTTCAGTCTTTGTGTCATCTGTGAAGGGTTCAGGAATGCATAAAAACCATGTAGCCACCTGGTATGATTTCAAAACCTTTCTTCATCTTTTTATTTTATTATCGTTTCTTATTTTACCTTCTCTGATCTTCACCCATATATCACTTGAATGTTTTTGTGAACACATGTAACTAAGGGCTCTTACTTTGCAACACTTACCTGACCAACATGATTCCTATTAGCAATATTTTCTGGTGGTTGTTGATATCTTTAGTTTTTTCGGCAGATCCCACCATAAATGATCTATCGAGGTTATGCTTTATATAGTTTCTTTTGTGTTTATGTTAATGAGGTTTTTAGAAAATTTCAAGGTTAAGGTTCATCTTAAGCTCTAAAAAGATAATAATGTAAGGGCAAGAGCAGATTTTTATTGTTTATTTCAAAATTAAAGCAGTTGTATAAAATGAGCTGTAATTATCTGGATGTAGGACATATGGTGGTCAAATGAAGTTGTGTACAAGGTACGATGGATGTGAGAGTAGTATACGAAATCTACAACAGGTAAGATATCCTCATAAAGCTCCAATTTGCATGTTCCATAGCTCCAATCTTCAAAAAGAGCTTCACACTTTCCGATAATTTCAAGTTATAGCAAGGTATTTCTATTTAATTGTTTTTTATTGCAACTTACATTCATTTTCTAATACTATGTGAGTGTGTGTTTGTGGGTGTGGCTATGTATGTGTATTTGGTGCATGTTTATGTATTTTTCTTAAATGTTAAAGTTTTACATGATTCTTGTGGCTTGCTTGATGTTACATGATTCTTAAATGTATTTCTCTCTCTCTCTCTCTCTCTCTCTATATATATATATATATATATATATATATATATATATATATATATATATATAGACACGCAATACAATTATTGTGGCTTGCTTGATGTTACTTGAGGCGGAGTAAAGGTGCATGGGTTGGATTCTATCACCGGGAGGGGAAGAGGACAAATAGAGGCTTGACCTCCATTACAGGTCCCTATTATTGGTAAGTAAGCTTCTATTTTTTATTTACCTTAAACAATTGTATAATAAGCATATTTAATTGTAACTTATGTGTAGTGCCTGCATATTTGATTTTAGCAACAGTGAAGTTGTACTTATAAAAAGGCAAAGAGGTAGACAAATGGGAATCTTATAAAGATTTAAATGTAAAGTGTATTACTAAAATAGGTATGGAGTATAGTGTATTGCTATTTCCAACAATTAGCCCTTTTCTTTTTTATGACAAATTCACAACTAACCTGTTTTACTCTATAAAATTTTAAATAGATTGCTATTAGGGGTAAAATGTATATTGCTATTGTGGGTATAAAAGTGCACTGTTTACATAAGTAAAAAGATTCATAAGTACAATGTTATTGATTGTCAACAAATTTACTTTTAATTTTAAAAAGACTAAATTCAACAAATAGCAATGTACTCATTTTTTTTCTTACCACTGCTAGGTAATATTCATCTTGTGTTAGTTGTAGATTGGATTTGCGAGTTGACATCCAAAAGTAGCTAACATTTAAGTATTTTTTTTATGGTTGATGTTGGTTCTTTGTTACGAGGCTAGCTGTGGTGGAGAAGGTTCTCTTGAAGAAAATCTTGGTAAAGTTGTTGGAAGTTGTATCATCATATCTTTCACATGAATTTATTTTGTTTACAACTTCACATGGTTTTATTTCATTTAAAGCTTCTATGTATATCTGTTTGAATTTGATATTGTATTAAGTTCCTCATGTATAAAGAAAGCAACAAATTGAATATTATATTGTATTAAGTTCCTCATGTATAAAGAAAGCAACAAATTGTGATATTTTTGTTTTTAATATGTGATTTTGGATAACCTTTTGATTATTTTTTTGGGTTTAAGCTAAAAGTGAAGCTGTTTACCGAATGATGTTTTACAAATGATGTTTTACAGTTTCAACCAATTTGGTGATCTTAGAGTAGAATTAAATAACTTGTGTGATGCTTTGCTTCCCCACCCACACACATTTTTTTATATAATATGCATTTTAATAAAAAGTAAATTCAACCGGTGGTAGTATACATTATTTTTTTGTTGTATAAGTTTTCAATCCAAGTTTATTTTTGTTGGTAATTTACTAAGCATTATTCAAATAAATATGATCAATTTAAATCTTATTTTTTAATCGATCATTACTTGAAGGAAATCATAGAAATGATATATGGATTTCTTTAATTTAATGTAAATAAAAAACATGTCAAATGCGTTTCGGGTTATTAAAATGTGTTTGAATGTTTATACGTTACAACCAATTAAACTTCATTTCTCAAATTACTTATGTTAATATTTTAATAAATTGTATTTTAAAAATAATAAATGTATGAAGTTGATCCACTAACTACGTGTGAGGATGTACCGCTACCCCTTGTCGCAACTTTTTGGATGGTTCCATGAGCGAAACTGGAATTGAAGTTGGCAGAATGGTTTCTGTTCCGCATGACATGAGTGGTGGAATGGCATTGAGAGACACTAACCCATTCTAATTTGGTTCTTTGACTTCTACGCTTCTTCACCCATAGAAAAGATGACGATATGTTGCATTTCTTTTTAATTAATTTTCTACACTTCTGATTTGGTTTTGTTTTAGATTAAATTACAAAACCGGTTCATAATTTTGATCCTTACGGTAACGTTTTACAAAAATAAATCATTAAGTCTGTCTAAAGAGTAAATTACAAGAATGGTCCCTTTCTTGTACCCAAATGTCAAGTTTAGTGTTTCAAATAGGTATTTATTGTTTTTGTTAAAATGACTTTTTTACCCTATATGTAACAAAATTAATCTAATATCAATATAAATAGAAGATATTATATATAAAAGTGATTTTAACCCAAAACAATATATGTTTAACAAAGTTAGGTAAATGGTTTTATTTAGAGTATTTTAATCCAAAGCAATAAATTTTTATCCTTAACTCAAGAAAACAATGCAATGTTATTTTTAACCAAACAACACTTCTATTTTTAACCCAAAAAGGAATGCATTTAGGCTCTACACAATTTTTTTTGTTTGTTTTGAAGCTAAACCAACAAAATACTTAATTACTTAAGCAAAAACATCAACATACTATTCTTTTTTACCTAAAACAACATTGTAATTACATTTTTAATAGAAAACGATTAGAACTTAACCATATCCAAACCTGTTTAATTATCATGTCATGTCACTTCAACCTATTTCTCTTTTCACATTATTATGTTAATGTCGTGATGTGTTTCGATGCTTAAAAGCTCCATAATTATTTTTAAAAATAAGAAAATAAACTTGATACAATCATTTGGAGAGGCGAAAATGAAAAAAAAAATTAAGTTTATAGTTTATAATAATCAAACAGAATATTTGATTCAATTCACGTCAACCAAAAACATGAGAAATTCCAATTTCTCATAATTCGAATATCTCCAGATTAATATTCATTTGATGAAATCCAATAATTTTATGAACATTTCTCGAACCAACCATTGATGCATTGCATGTTTTTGGGATTATAAATGTTTTTGAAAGGAAAAATTATCATCTAAGAATAAACTTTTTATCAAAAGAATACTCTTGCACTGAAAGGAAATTAATAACCAAAACTAAACAATTCGTCGCCGATCTGTTATGACAAAAAAACAACCATAAATCGTAAAGTACATTTATATATAAAAAAACAACACTGTACATTTATTTTCAATCCAGATAAACACTTTTTTAACAAAAATTTAAATATACTTCTATTTTTAACGCAAAACAACAAATTATACTTTTTAAAGGGACATTTCCGAATGACAGATAAACACCGAAAAAAAAACGATTATGCGAAAAGTAACTTGTGTTCCTTTAAATATAACATGTTTCCAATTGAAAATAATTGTTGCAACAAACTATTTGTCGCCGCCGCTTTGCGCGGGTAACGGCTAGTATATATATATATATATATATATATATATATATATATATATATATATATATATATATATATATATATATATATATATGAATTTTATGTTGGAATGAATCAACATAAGGAAACTCTATATATGATTCATTTATTTGCGTTCTAAAATTCGATTATGATTACGGCATCCCTTTTCATAATCTGAATTATGAGAACTTGGCAAATAGAAATAGAAATATTATAGCAAAAGGACTGGTCTAGTATCATGTCTTTATGTGAGACATCATGAATCGTGTCCCATATGCTTCAGATATAGGATCGATTGCATGTGCTATAATATTCATCATTTCTAAATTTTTCCAAATGCTCAGGGCATTAAGAGGGGAAAAGTCTAGAATTGGATATGACTAAAATGATTAAGCAATTGTCGAGGACAATCTAAGGTTTACCAAAGATTGGTTGCTCAGGGACAGTTGGAAGTATAATGCTAAATTTTGGAGAGGACCTTATTGACATATTCTGAAAAGAGGCAGCTCTTGTTCAGAAGTGATAGTCAAAATGAGAATATGGAAATATTCCCATAGGTGGCAGTTGTTCATTAAATCTGTCTAAGATTAGGAAACTTAATGCAAGAATGATGTTCAAAGAGATGTACTTTGAATTTGAGACTTCGGTTCCATGGAATGATCTCCATTGGAATACTCTGTAATGTCTGTTGACAAGTCTTTGTGACTTTGTGCATAATCATTACAGAGGACTGGTGCATATAAGTTTAGAATCTAACAGATTTAGGTAAATGGCAGGAATTTGGAATTCTTGCATTTGCGGTAAGGATTTGGGATTGTGAAATGAGAATCATTGGAATTATGTTCAATCGATCTATTTCACAAAGCAAAGATCATAGACAAACTTAGTATACATACTTGGTGTATGGCATAACTAATGTTTAGACAAACATAGTGTGCATACTTGGTGTATGGCATGACTAGTGTTTAGAAAACATAGTGTACATGCTTGGAGCATGGGACAACTAGTGTTTTAATTCAAGTATTAAGTTGATAAATTTGAAACATTATAATGTGTAATCAATATGGTGATAAATAAAAGATGTTTTTATTTATATTCATAAGTTTTGAGACCATATTGGATTCAATTATTCTTATGTTTCACTTTGCATGTTTTGACTTCCAGAATAATTAGGTCGTTCTTCCTGAATGACTAAGTTATTCAAACAATCCACAGTCGGTCATATGTTGGAAGTAGATATGAATCAAGACTGTCATGGGTTGGCTTGTAGAGGTCTAAGATGTTGGACAAAGTGGTGCTACAACACTCATGAGTGCTCATAAGTTCTGAGTATTGGATTCAACCCACGCTCATTGGAATCACTTCATGGATTTTATCACGAGTGATCGTGAAACGATAATATCTTATATTCTTCAAACCTATAGATATGAGTTGTTACTATGAGTTGGTTATACATTGATTGCACGAAAACGCATTTGGTAACTCGGTGCTATAAAACGTGCCTTTGTGTATGATTCAACAAGTAGTAGAATAAGCCATATGAGTCGAAGTTTATCCATTCCTTTTACCCTTAAAGGGATAAAAGCGATATTTGTGGGGCCCTCAATGATTTAGTGATGACACTTGTGAGTGCTTGACCAAGCCAGGACTAATGTGATTTGTTCAATTAGTCGGTCGTCATAAA